CCCCCCCCCCCCCCTCCCACGTTGTCAGGAACTGCAAGCCACATGCAACGAGGCACCAAAACCCAACCAACCCGGCAAATATTGGTCAAATGCTTGTGTGTGTGTATTTTGTGTTGGCGTTCTCCGTGTATCCCAGGGTCATTGCCAGGTGGGCGGGGTGGAAACCAGCGACGGCGAGCGCACCCGCTGCGCAGCCTCCCCTGGCCTCTGCCCTGGCCCTCTCTCGTCCGGAGCGTGCCGCACCGCCGAGCTCTGCCGCCGCTGGCGGAGGCGGTAGCGGCGACCGCAGCCCGGCTGGGAGCTGCAGCAGCAAGGAGACCGGAGAAGGGTACGACGGCGACCCCCGCGAGGACTGGGCCATGAGAGTGTTCCGCGCACGCGGTGGCGTAAGCTGTACCAATCCCCGCACAGCCCCCCCCGCCGCCGCCGCCTACGCTCCCGCTGGTGCCGGCGCTCGGCCGTCCTCCAGCCTGGTCGTAGTCAAGGCCCTGAGGACAAATTTGCCGACGGTCCCCTGGCCGCCAGCACCAGCGGCCTCGGACAACGGCGCCACCCCTACGGCAAGCGATCGCGGAGGCCGGGGAGGAGGGCCGTCGGCGGTAGTACCGGCGGGAAGGGGCGGCGCTTGGCGCGGCCCGCTGTCTTGGCTGACCGGGGGTCGCCGAGCCGCTGCCGCGGCGCCCGACGAGTCGGCACCTCGCGCGGTCGCCCGGCCGCCGGCACCGTCGCTCCCGCGCCCCCCAAGAGTGGTCGTGCGGGTTGTCTACTCTGCCCTCGCGCCAGACATGCTGCGGCTTGTGACGGAGTCGGATCAGCGAGGGGTCGCACCGAAAGCTGCTGCCGTCGATGCCGATGTCGGCCGAGACACCGGGGCGGCGCAAAGGTAGACCCTTGATCGCGTTCTTACCTCGAAAAAAATGTCGTCCTGGATCTGTTTTTGTCCGGTGTACGTCGCGGTATGTCGGGGAAGGACCACCTCTTTTTTTGCCCGATACCCCTTCCGTGGCCGGCTTCTGGCGTGATGACGATGCAACAGAGGTTATCCGTGAGCTGTCGTCTCCCCGTGTGTGCTTCTCTTTGCCTACCGCTACCGAACGCCAGAGGTCAGGACGGCCTGGGCCTCGACGAGGCTAGGAGCGGTAGCAGCGCCTCGGTGGAGCTACTTCGGAGTGAGGTTCGGGTTCGACACGTTGGCTTGGTGGGCGCCGCATGCGCTGGGGCTGGGGAAGGGGAGAGGGCACCCCGTGCTGCTGGCGATGAGGAGTTTGAGCCGGGGCCGGAGTCGTGCCCCGTTATGCAGCTGCAGGTGACGGGGCGACGTTTCTGTTGGGCATCGGTGGTCGTGCCCAGTTGTTGAGACGCGAAACCGGTGTACAGATTTTATTTGTGGTTGTCCGGTTGGTTGAGCGAGGCTGGTCGAGTTCCACTTTCGTTCCGTGTTTTGTGTTGGTAGCTCGTCGTTGTTGAATACACACACTCTTGCTAAATAGCTGGTTAGGGCACACGTTTGGCGCTCCCTATCCACTTTGTCAAAGTTGAGGTTGCTTTCCTCTTTGGCCCTGTCTGGTTGCGGGTTTTGTAGCTCATAGGGCTCGTTTGCGGGGTCTGGAGGTTGTCGTTGGCATTGAAGTCAACCTTGAGTCGACGTTCAAAAGGACATAGAAAAACACACGACCAAGCGAACGGCTCGTCACAAGCCTTTCTGTAGTCAAAAGCGACCCATATCATAACTTTCGGGTGGTTTGTGAGGTTATGAGCAAACGTGCAGACCCAGACCATCCCCACGTCCACTACCCACCATCCGGTTGTCCCCCACGCTGCTCGCTCTCTACCGGAAGTCTCATGCCAAAGTGTTTTTTTAGTTCGCCTCTGTTGCTCTTGGTCCCCGCCCTCCGAACGTGTTGGAGCAGGTTGTGCTTCAGCTCCGGACCAAAACGCCTGTGGTGGTTTCCCGGCTCCTGCACACCGGGGGGGGGGTGTATCTCCCACGTTCACCATCGCCACCGCCACGGCCACACGTAAGCCCACCCTCGGTCACTCGGATTGCCTGAAAATGCGGCGAGGTTCCTCCACCCGATCCGCTTCTTGGTTGTCAGCATCGGTGTCCACCCATTGCTGCAGGGGCACGGCGCCAAGCACCCCGACGGTTGTCTGGTTGAGGGGGGGCGAGCGGCTTGTGTTGGCTTGCTTGTACAGCAGTTGGTCCCTTTTTTGGTCTACTTTTCAGCAGTGTCATGCATCTCTTCGGAAACAGAGATTTTTTCTGTCTGCCTTCCTCGCGCGCGGGGTGCTTCTTGCTTTCTGCTCGAAGGGGCAGAAACTTTTTTCGCTCTCGTACCTCGTCTTCTCAGAAGTCTAGTAATTGAAAAGCACATAATAGCCTCGTGTACTTAGTGAGCAACCAACCACCTTGCTTGCGCGGGCTTCCTCCCCCGTTCGGAACACAATACCTGTTGGTGGTATTATCCCCCCACAGAACATCCACGGAGTTGTCGGGGAACGGCGCCGCGGCAGGCGGGACTGTCGCGGTGGCGAGAGTCCCACGGGCGGTGGCCGAAGCAGCGGGGTCGGAGAGGAAGTGGGCGGAAGCGCTCGGGGAGACTCTACCACCGGCGGGTGTGGTGCTTCGGGCCTTGGTGCCCGTGGTAACGCTCGAGGGGATCGAGCCAAAGACATTGTTCCTTCGGAATGGGGGGATGCGCCGGTGGGGCTCTGTCCGCCGGAAGCTTCCGCAGAGAGGGGGTGTAAGGTGAGCCGTATGGAGGGGCAAGGCTAGGGTTGGGACGTGTTTTTCTCGGGGCGAGGGGGGGGCACAGCTTTTCGAATTTTTCACCCTACCAGAATGTTCGGTGCTTGGAGTGTCGTAGCTTCGGCCCCTAAGTAAAGAAATCCTGCGCGTGTAGGGCTCGGAACGCGATGTAGCACCGCATCTTCCGCATTCCCAGTGCTACGCCCAGTAGGGGAGAAAACGTAGACCACGGTGGCTCTGGCACGCAGCTCCCGCAGGTCTTCCATGACAACCACTCACCGGCGCTATCTAGAACTTTCCCGCTGCCTCGGCCAACAAGTGGGAACACGTGACCATCGACGTATTTTTCTCGCCCTCCCCGACCTTGCCCCCCGCCCGGTGTTTGCCATCGAGGTTGGGTTTTCGTCGCTTGGCAACGACGTTGTAAAACAAGCCGCCCCCCCCGGTGTTTGCCATCGGGGTTGGGTTTTCGTCGCTTGGCAACGACGTTGTAAAACAAGCCGCCCCACCC